TTTTTAAAATGAATATATTATACAAAGGTGTCCGTTAAAATCTAATGGCTGTAAAATTAAGTATAAATTACGCCAAGAATTACCGTATATGTCAATATTTTTTGTACATTTGGGCCAATTTGAGCAATCTCCTTTGGCACATATATAAGTCTATTACTTGTATTGAGACATCATGTTCCTGCGGGATTCTCCAAAACTAAAGGTAACGTGGCCAAAGTCGCGGCCGATTGCTAGTGATTTTATTGGTTTATGACAAGCTTGACAAGGGAATATATGGGTACTCAATGTACAATTTTAAAAGTAAATTCTAATGTCTTCCTGATGGCCCCATCGGGGGAGACAACACTCCGACATCAAATGTAGATGGTGCGTTCTGAATTATAAAAACGACGGTGTATAAGACAGGAATTACCATAAATAAAATCTGATTTGTGATGAACGGAAACCACGATTTGGCTCAGTAGCTAACCGTTGTATTACACAAATTACACAATAATATCGATTCTGGTGTGATTAACATCAGTTCCTCCTTTTCATTCTGTATAGAGAATGACAAGGATACACTGTTGTCAAATTTAAGTTTAGATTTAGAGAATTGTGCCAGAATCGACACCAATATTTTATTTTTCAGTTCATGCATTTGGTAACTATTCATTATACACTAAGCTTGAAAAAAAAAGCGACACAGTGGGATCATTCAGCAATATTCCATTCCACAGATCAACCATTCTACTTTTAGTTTCGTTCATCGGTAAGGAAATGTACATTATCAATGGTCTATCTCCTTCTACATACAACAGAATAAATATAAGCGCATGGTGGAAAGAAAAAGTAAAAGCAATATATAGTCAAAATAAGTTAAACATTGGTGTCGATTCTGGCATGATTCACTAAACTTAAAACTAAATTTAACATCAGTCTCTCCTTTTCATTCTGTATAGAGAATGACAAGGATATACTGCTGTCAAATTTAAGTTTAGGTTTAGAGAATCATGCTAGAATCGACACCATTTATAATTAATTTATTTAAAATTGACAGGTCTAATGTAGGTACAGCATTTTATTCTTATTGTTGATCTATGCACAGACAGCCATACGTCAAGTTACCACAAATTGACGAAATTCTTCAGCAGATTGTAAATCTTATACACAAGGATATAAAGCTCAAAGTCAGTTTGAGATTTGTTAGTTTTGGCTAAATTGACCAGTGGATGACTGATTTATCAAACTAGATGAGAAACAACACATTCGCTTAATTAATTGCCAATTAGCCTTCTCTGGCACATAATCCGAAACTAAATAAATCAGCCAAGTTGCATTTAGAATTGCGTCGTCACCAAAAAATGAACTAAAATAAATTTCTTTTTTTACAATGACACTGTTTTGAGCGAACATGCAAACTTCAAACTAAAATCTACGTTTAAGTAAGATTATTAATTTTACTATCTAATGCCTATTTAAACAATGCACAATCTTATTACAATAGTATACTCATTTACCTATTGACTTGTAATGCTTGCCGTATCTATGCGCAACATTTTTAAGAGCGGACGCGAGATGAGGGTAATTCGAGAAATTGGTATTTGAAAAAACTGTTGCTATCCACCATAAGCAAACACCGTGCCCTAGGGCAACAGTGGCTAACGACGAAAATTGGGTATAAAAATTGAACAAACCGAGGTTTGGCTCTCGACGATTTCCTCCTAGAAAATTAGATAGGTACAGTAGAATCCGTTTATTACGACTCCGCCTATATTGACCAACCGCCTATTATGACGTAAATACACAACGAAGTTTGGTTTTCATATAAAATTCATTGTAACAATGTCGGATATAATGACTTCGCTTACAGTGACATGTCGCTTATTATGACCCATTTTTAATCAATTTTGTGCGTTTATAGTGACCGACATGGTACTTTACACCTAAGGTAATGTTCGTTGATTCAAATTGAACATCAAGCATTGTTTTACGGAGTAACTGAAGTAATTGCGGGTAGGCTAGGCTAGGTAGGTATCGAACGCAATAAAAGACTTCGTCGGAGGGTAGACCGATATGTCTGCCAATAACAGCCTACCCGCAATTAATTCAGTTACTCCGTGATCATGGCGCTTGCAACAGTGCCGAAATATCGGAAACTCGCTAAAAACAAGGTACATGATAACAATCCCGTAAATAACTTATATTACTATTATGTATATATGTTTTGTAAATTCTAGGTTAAGTTCGTCTTAGTAATACAGGAAACTTATGTTCAAAAATTCGTTTATTTTTGGCAATTTTTGAGGGCTCCTAGTCTGCTTTGCTACACATCTTTATATATATAATTCTTCTGTGAGTGTGTATGTCACTGAACTTCTCTTAAACGACTGGACCGATTTTGATGAAATTTTTTGTGTGTGTTCAAGGGGATCTGAGAATGGTTTAGATTCACAATTTTGTCCGCTGGACAACCCCTATTCTTTTAGGGCGGTTACGAAGTTCGCTGGATCAGCTAGTGTTATTATAAAAAGGAAGACATAGAAGCATAGAAATGGGTAGAATTATATTTTGAGTGTGAAAGTTAATTCTTTAGTGTTAAAAATCAAGGAGTAATCAGACGAGAACCTTTGGAAAAAACATTGCCCGCCCCCCCTCTTAAAAATGAAGCAGGTGAAATGAGACTCGCAAGCTTGACAGTAAGTTTAACAATTTGTGTACATATTAGGTACTTAATGTATGTAGTTGTTACAACAACAAACACCGGCAGCGTTTGTGTTCGCTAACTAAATTCATCGACATGATTCACCGTATAACTATTCTATTTGAAAGCGATGCACCCCACACACCGGTCGTATTACATGAAAAATTGCTATTTGACATTTGCTTTATTATTATATTACTTAGGAAAAATAATTGTTATGAGCGTGATTTACTATGATTACCAAGTTGTGCTTGGTTTAACAATAAATATATAATATTCTACACAAATGGCATTCTTTGTTTAAGATTGTCATGCATGAGGAATATCCGTTTTCAATTTTATATATAATGAATTACCAAAGTCAATTTAGAATTTCTGTAGATAGAAATAACTTTAAAAAATTGGCAGTACCATAAACAAAAAATGATTTTTAACAAAATGAAGCTTCTTACAGTATCTTATTGTGACTCTAAGGTTATTTAACTTCTGTGTAGGAACACCTTTAAAACAAAATATACATACATACATTGATTTCACATATTTATTACAAACTGTAATTGAAGTAAATTACATGTTGTCTCTAACTCTGGCTTTATCATCGCTTCTAAACAAATTGACTTTAAAAAAAATCAATGCTAAAAGTTATATAAATAAAAATGAAGAAAATGGTATCATCTTATGGAAAATATTAAAAACATTTTGTTAAAAAAAACTATAAGAGTTTGAAGCGATAATAAATATTAACGTACAGGATTATGATGATCATATAACAAATAAATATTTTTTCAGCTAACTAAAGTGATGTTCATGATGCCAGAGAACAAATATATATATATATCAACATACAATCACTAGCCACCAATGTACACTGCATCAATTGAGTCTGTTTAAGGCTGCCTATCCACTGAAGAGGCTGTTTAGCGGAGAGACAGAGAAATATCAAAAAGATAGGATTGCAGAAAATATCTTCTAATTTTCAGTGAACAGTTTTTGTGTAATTCTTCTCATAAATATTTCTCTGCTCCGCTAGACAGGCAGCCTACTGAGCAAATATTAACATTTTTAGATTGTTATAAATTATCTAAAATCCGCAACTGGATTGTGGAACCACACAATCTCTGACTAATCACTAAAGTGGTATAACACGTTTATTTAGCAACACTGAATGACTTATTATTTGAATGTAAAGACATTGGATTGGAGAAACGCTTATTTATGGAAGAGCTGACTTACAACCGCTGTGGAACTCTGCCAAGGAATATTAAAAGGTTGTAGAAATCACCCCAAAGGGGTAAATCTGCCTCTGAGCTGGATTATGTTTGCTCAGGCAACACGATCAAGTTCCACTATTCACAATTGGCCTAGATTCCACAGTCCTTTGTCACGATTGCACGGGAATTATCACTATTCATTAGTCCAGTAATCAGCACTTGTACGATGGAGTTGTTCTTCGAGGGTGCGGGAATTATCACTATTAGTATTAATTAGTCCAGAAGCACTGTTAAGATTGTGTAGCGGGTTTTGCACTAGCAGTCCAGTAGTCAGCACTGGTACGATGAAGTTGTTTGATGAGGGTACGGGAATTATCACTATTAGACCGGAAGCACTGTTAATATTGCGTTGAGGGTATTGCACTGGCAGTCCAGTTGTCAGCACTTGTACGATGAACTTGTTTGATGAGGGTACGGGAATTGTCACTATTAGACCAGAAGCACTGTTAATATTGAGTTGTGGGTATTGCACTGGCAGTCCAGTTGTCAGCACTTGTACGATGAACTTGTTTGATGAAGGTACGGGAATTATCACTATTAGACCAGAAGCACTGTTAATATTGCGTTGCGGGTATTGCACTGGCAGTCCAGTTGTCAGCACTTGTACGATGAACTTGTTTGATGAGGGTACGGGAATTGTCACTATTAGACCAGAAGCACTGTTAATATTGCGTTGCGGGTATTGCACTGGCATTCCAGTTGTCAGCACTTGTACGATGAACTTGTTTGATGAGGGTACGGGAATTGTCACTATTAGACCAGAAGCACTGTTAATATTGCGTTGCGGGTATTGCACTGGCATTCCAGTTGTCAGCACTTGTACGATGAACTTGTTTGATGAGGGTACGGGAATTATCACTATTAGTCCAGAAGCACTGTTAATATTGCGTTGCGGGTTTTGCAATATCGGTCCAGTAGTCAGCACTTGTTGTCTTGGGCGGTGTTTACTAGCAGTAGTCCAGGTGCATTGATGTGGTGACGTGGTCCGTGGACGCGGGTAGCGCAGCTTCTTGCACTGCCTGCTAGTACGAGAAGCTGAACAGGTTTCAGGTGGCCACCTCCTCACCACCAGCTTCGAACTCCAGTTTCACGTCACCGCCTAAGCCTTCCACGTCCACCTCGTTTTCGGAAGCGTTCAGCATGTTCAGCGTCACCTGGAGCCGTTGGAACAATGTTAAAGAGAGAGTGAGGGCTATCGCGTATGAATCCGCCGCTAGAGGCGCTAGTGTAGCATGAGGTCTCCGAAATGTCAAATGTTATTGCTTGTGAGTTGACTACGCGGGTTTATTTCTAATTAAAATAATTTTGTGAATATTTAGTAATAACTCGGCTTAATTATAGCAAATATGAGTTACGTGGCATTGAATGTCAGTTATTTAAAAGCGGAGCTAAGACAAATAAATATGTCCTCCTTTTCGCCGTACAAAACGGAGCTGCGCAACACTGTGGTATGGCCAATTATGTTTAGAATACGGTTCTTTTGTATTAAAATATGATTTAAATGTATACTTTGATTTCACGCGCGTAATAATAAACATTAAAAGTTACAATTCAGGACCTCACTCAACAGTGGCGCCATCTGGTGAGACAAAAAACGGTAGCCCTCGTTGCAAAAGGGGGAGTATTACTTTTTATTATTGTGCTATTGTAAGTCTGGGAAAGTCGCCATCTAGGAGCGCGTGCGACTATAATGATTATGCACCGTTGTCTTAATATCTACAAAGTATGTAGTCCAAAGTTAACGTTCATGCAAGCGTTCTCACGCAGTTTCAAGCATAATTTATGTCACGACACGGTTTTGTCAAAATCGAAAGGAATTAGTTTAGTTAATTAATGTCGGCAGTCGTCCTCCTGGCTACTTTCTGTTTTGTGATATTTACACAATGTATATATATGGAAAGTCAAACTCATGCGGACCCTTATCTTTTCTATATTTCTGTACGCTTCAGAGACCTGGACGCTAAAGGCACGCATTCGAACCAAGATCGACGCGTTTGAAATGTGGTGCTGGCGGAAAATGCTAGGGGTTTCTTGGACAGAGCACCGCACCAACATTTCTATTCTTTCCGAACTGGGCATAACATCCCGCCTGTCTACTGTATGTATGCAGCGACTTCTTCAGTACTTCGGACACGTGACAGAACCAGACAATCTTGAAAAGCTCATCGTCGTAGTTCATGCGGAAGGAAAAAGGAGCCGCGGAAGATCACCCGCCCGATGGACTGATGCGGTCAAGGTAGTCTGCCAAACTGACATTCAGACATCTATCCGGTTGGCCGAAAACCGCAATACGTGGAGGGAGCTGGTACAACGGGTGCCCTCATGCTGTCGCGACCCTCAGTCATGAGGTTACGAGGAAGAAGAATATGTATGGAGCCAAACATAATTTTTGAAACTGTTCATTCACTTGGTCTTTGCCGAACGTCAATCTGCCGCACATAGCACTATGAAACAGAAAAAGATCCACGTCTAGATCTGATAAAGGTGACCAAAGTTATGAATAAAAGGATACAAGAAATCCTGTCTGGAACCAAAGGATTTTATGAGGGGACATATTATATAGCTCCAACGCGTATGTCGTGCATTTTTAAAGAAGTATTACGGAGCGATCGTTTTGATTACGAATTTAACTTAAATTTAATTAGATTTGAAATGTATAATGCGATTCAACTAAGATTAGGACCGACTGGGCGCCATATTGTGATGTCATAGCTGTCAATTCAAACCAAATAGGTAGAGCCAGCAAAAAAAGTTTTTATTTAATTTACTAAGATTAAGTGAGAAAAAGCATCAGATTTTTTTTAATAACATTTGTTTACTAAGATTGAGAAAAGAAAAACCCCGATTTTTAATAATATTTATATATTCAGACTGTGAGAAAAATAATTAATCAGAATCTAGCTCTTCTATTCCGCTCATCTCTGCATTACCGCCGGAGTAGTTATGAATAATCATGCACTATTACTAGGTCACATACGAACATGCATCCTTTATGTAAACGAAAGTTTGAAATTGGGTTTCTGAACGCAACTTAAAGTGACATTTGGTTGACGATTTACGTTATCAACCATTCATGGCCAAAGCTCAATAAATGAAAAAAAATAATCAACTGATATTAATTATCAATGTTTGTTATTGTTTCTTTACAAATGTATGGTTTTTATTCTTGAATTAGCGGAGTGCTAAAACAGGGTTCCAGGTTTTTTTTGCAAACCGTACTTTTCAAGCGACATTTGACAGATAGAGGTCTTCGGCTTTCCTATTCTTATTCGAATCGCATTATAAAAGCGCCTCAGATTGCAATTCTAAATCAGTACTTAGATCATAACATTCTTTTTTGGAAAAACTAAGAAAATTTTAGCTTAAATTTAAAAGCTCGTAAATTGTTATAAAATAGACTTACCGCGCCACATGGATAGCAATATAACTGAACATTATTACTTTACACGTGTTAGGGGCCGTTCATAAAATACGTTCGCATACAAGGGGGGACGGGGGGTCTACGGCAACGTGACGTTCGTCGTTCATTAAAAAAATTTAAATTAGTATTTCTTTCAACTATTTTTCTTTCTCAATTTTCATCAAGATAGAAAATCATTTATTTCGTATTTAGTTTAGTTATGCATATCAGGAGATGAAAAAGCTGGTACAGAAAATGCAGAATGGACAGATGACGATGACGTGGACGGTAGTTTTGAAAATGAAGAAGAAGATGTTGCAATACCGATTATAGATATTTCAGCGCATTTACAGAATCCTTGGACTTCTGATTAATAGAAATATGATTTATTTATTTGTTATGAAAAGATATTTATATATTTAAATTTTATTATAAAAACTAAATAAATATTTAAATTCTTAAAATTTGTGTACTATCAATTGAAATTAATCATACTTGGGGGGTGGGTGGGGGGGTCCTCCGTTTTCGTGACGGAATATTTCAAGAGGGGTCACAGAAAGTGTGACACAGCGTGACAATAGGAGGGGAGGGGGTCGGAAAAAGCTGATTTTAGCGTGACGTATTTTATGAACGGCCCCTTATGGAATAATTTACGAATAGTGCAGATACGAAGGTGCATATGTACCAAGCTTATAATGCAAGTAAATAAATAAAGAAATTATTGTTAGAAGTTACACAGGCATGATAATGCGAATTTCTTGTAATGCACGAGACCCATTTTCATATTATAGTTTGATGCATCCATACTTTGCGATAATATTCGGTGCAAGCAAGTTAATTTTGTCTTCGGTCTACGGTGACCTGTATGGCCTAATACATCATTTGGAATATCATTGTATTTATACTGTATGACACAGCAACCAAAATGCAGGTAAACAATTAATGTATATTTAATAATTATGTAATGAAAAGTGACTTCATGAATCTGTAAATAATGAAACAGGGAGAAAAAACAGCCCTTGCTGAGTTTCTTGCCGGTTCTTCTCAGTACAAGGTCTCCTGCCGTAGATTTACGAACCGATGGCGTAGCTTCTAGACATTCATGAGTGCTTGTAACAGCCTAAACTGAATAAATGATTTTGATTGATTGATTGAAATAACAGGAATCAAACGAATATTGTAAAGAAGTGGTCCAATACCCATCATGAGTATTGGAGCCAAACTTTGATTCATTGACTAACATTGACGTTATATTAACAACTAGCAAACCAGTGAACCAAAAGTTCACCAAAACCTGATTTAAAAAAAAATGTATTTAATTAATTGAGAACTTCGGAGATTTTGTGTGGTTTCGTTTGAAATTTGTGATTTCTCGAAAACCGGAAGTGCTACGTTACTCAAATCCGGTTTGTAGTCTTATCAGACTATTCTTAACTTATAACTTAAATATTCTCTTTATCCATCTCTTACGGTTTGGCCGCTGAAACAGCACCACAGACAGACAGACGGGCGGACTTGTCTAATAGATAAGAGATGCCCACTAATTACTTATATTTTTTTAAATTAATCCATTCATGTAATTCTATTGTCACTTATCAATTAACACTCAGGCTTCAAACTCACTCAGACTTGGTGAACTAGGGTTTCACCAAGTCGACATATATCACTAACTAGTGGCCCGCCCTCGCTTCGCTTCGGGATAGAATTGATCAAAATCCTTTCTTAGCGGATGCCTACGTCATAACATCTACCTGCATGCCAAATTTCAGGCCGATCCGTCCAGTGGTTTGGGCTGTGCGTTGATAGATCACTATGTCAGTCAGTCAGTCCTTTGAGTTTTATATATATATAGACATAATAAGCTGACAGTTTGTTGTGGCCTGATCTATTTACTGCACTAATGGCTATTAAAAGTACGATACTAATTTTGTTAATACGGATTTTATCTTTAAACGCGATATCAGAGATATAAAAGAGTAATTTATTCATTCCATAATTTTTTTCTGTATACGAACTCATCTTTTCAAGCTTTTGCGAAAACCAGTTTGTAACTATGAACGAAAACACTACAATTAGTACGTAAATCTGATACAGGGACGTACTCATGGCAAGAATTACCGATTATTTGTAAAATATGTAAATTTAAGCAACTTTCGAAGTGGTCGGTCATTGGATGGGTGACCAAAAATTACTATCTCGAGCTCCTCCATGCTTCGGAAGGCACGTTAAGCCGTTGGTCCCGGTTGCATCTGCAGTCGTTAGCACCCGCCAATCCGCACTGGGCCCGCGTGGTGGGTCATGGCCCAATCTCCCTATTCCATCCATAGGGAAGGCCTGTGCCCCAGCAGTGGGGACAGGCTGATGATGATGATGTGAATTTAAAAAAAAAACTCATTTTACAACACAATTGTCGTTGAAAAATTTATGGATAAATGTACCAAACTGCCTGCCATTTTGTAAGCATTTCCGAAGATATACTCAAAACTGTGACCTGTCACTCGACAAAATTGTCAGCTTGCATATGAGTCGTATAGTATCAAAGCCGGCAAAGTAGGGCGAACCACATATTTGGCAAATCAAAAAAAACTGTTTAGTCTCGTCTTTAAGGGAGGATTTTTATAATTGACATTCATCTACAAATCGTAGTGAAATGTCAATAATAAAAAATGGGTGCGTGTACTTATGTAGGCGCGTGAGAAGTTATCCTTCTTTGGCATCGTTTAAAATTAGTTTTTAATTGCATGCAAATAATTAATTACAATAAATTAATAAAAAGTCTGGAAAAGGACACAGTCAATACAGTTCAGTTTTAATTTGAAAAAATAAATAAATAATCAAAATATTCAATTAAAATCACTATTAGAACATATGTGATTTGCACTTGTATGAAACTCAAACACGTATTCCGAATATACAAACTAGAAACATGTGGATAAATATTATAAATATGAATACCTATAACTGTTACTTTATAACAAAAAATAAAGATGTGGTTTTTGGTTCTACTACACCAATGGTCAAGAGATGGCGCTGTAGTCTCCTGAATCGCGCTTTGGTTCCGTTGTTCCAGATTAATAAATACTTTTGATAGGCCTTCACAATGCAGTCGTTAGCACCCACTAAATAGAGATTCTATTTCTATTTTGTTGGTAGATTTTCTTAATGTGCGGTAAACACAAAAGTAACGCATGTTAAAATTTTGTGTTACAGTGATGCGCGCGCATCTTAAAATTTCACTCTCATCATTTTTTCATAACGCGCCTAAAGAAGTATAACTTCAAAAATCCTCCCTTAAAGACGAGACTAAACAGATTTTTTTGATTTGCCAAATATGTGGTTTTGATACTATACGACTCATATGTCAGTGCCATTATGTCGACTTGGTGAAATAGTGCTGAGGTACAGGGTATAACATCTATCTAACATAGGTTACAACCCAAAGTTTTCGCGCAGGTTTGGCTACAAACACCGAAACGCCGAATTTCCGTGTTCCTACGCCTAGTATACTCACCATGGTATTATATTATTTCAAGAATGTTAAATAACTGTTCCCAAATAATGACCAAACAAAATAATAGTGCTTTTATATTAAATAAACCATACGTTGTACTCATAGTTTAGTGACCTTTCATTTACAATTTAAACTGTTGCAAATACTGGCAAAAAGTTTCTAAATACCAAATCCTGCGTGCTTGTGTGTCCGTGATGGTAGCGTACCCACGATCAATATACGGTTTTTCGTTATGCCATTAAATACTGCGTAAATAGTGCCAAATTAGTGTAAAAATAAAAAAAATAGTGCCTCTTTAATTTAAGAAATAAAGACCATTTTTACTGTATACGCTAGCATGACGTCAAGCTAGCGTACCCATGGCCGACCCCAAGAATGGCATATATTTCAGCAACGAAATTGACACACAAAAATAGTTCGCAAATAGTGCCCTCGCTTTACAAAATTTCATAATCAATACTCTTGCAGGACCAAAGATATTGAACTATACATTCTTAGCTGGCGTCAACCTGGCGTACCCATAATAGTACTCATAGAAAATGAACTTTTCTCGTTATCAATTCTATATGTATAAATAGTGTGTCAAATAGTGCCTCTAATAGTAAAAGTATTTCAAGTGAATTCGCATCACAACCATACATAAAGAGGATGTTAAATTCTAGGAACAAATGTATTGTAGTACAGTTGCACACAAAATTAATTTATGCACTAACAGATTATGTATATATGTATTTTTACTAAAATAAATAGGTACTTTTTATAAAAAGGTATTTTATTTCAATTCGAATGCACCAATCATAAATTCATATAAGAATTTCAACTTACTTACTATACTACGAAAATATTATCACTTCTGTACATGACTGTACTTCATCTATAAAAATAATTAAATTGCTTTTTTTATATTGTTTTACTGCGAATTCACATAAAATACTTTAACTGTTAGAGGCACTATTTGACACACTATTTATACATATAGCATTGATAACGGGAAAAGTTCATTTTCTATGTGAACTATTATGGGTACGCCAGGTTGACGCCAGCTAAGAATGTATAGTTCAATATCTTTGGTCCTTTAAGAGTACTGATTATGAAATTTTGTAAAGCGAGGGCACTATTTGCGAACTATTTTTGTGTGTCAATTTCGTTGCTGAAATATATGCCGTTCTTGGGGACGGCCATGGGTACGCTAGCTTGACGTCATGCTAGCGTACACAGTAAAAATGGTCTTTATTTCTTAAATTAAAGAGGCACTATTTCTTTTATTTTTACACTAATTTGGCACTATTTACGCAGTATTTAATGGCATAACGAAAAACCGTATATTCTGCATTATCCCCCTCTCAGGGGATAATCGCTTCAGATGAAGCTTGTAAGGCCCTTCAGGCCATAAGCATGATCTACGGGTGTGTTTTAGTCAGTAAGAGTCTGACATAACCTTGCAGCCGGCTGTAAGGTATCCATGAGGATTTCACACCCGCTCCCCCGCCTGGGAGGAATCAAAAAAAAAAAAAAAAAAAACCGTATATTGATCGTGGGTACGCTAGCATCACGGACACCGTGCTTGTATATTTCCAGAATTATACACTTTATTCAGTGGTGTATGCCAAACGAAGGTTCTTCGCCTAGCATACCACTAAAACCGTACAAGCTGTGGCCATTATACAAGAACAATGTTTGGCATTCTTGAAATGGCAAAATTATGTTTGAACCCGAATTTTAGAGTTATCACAATGAGAGTAGCCTAAACGTTAGTGCCAAATCATGTTGTAAACTGATTGCACATAATGTTTGGCGTCCATGAATCGCGTCGCATCAAAAATTATTGATATGTCACAAAAATTCATAGATTTTAAGCTTTGATATAGATAATTTGTTTCATCATGCCTGATGCTGATACTTAAAATATTCATTGTGAACAAAATAAAATATTGCACATCACTACTTTCATGCCTAACGCAGCACTGTCTTATCTACAAAGTAAGCAAATCTATTTCTACATAATTAAGTTATATTAAAAAAATATTTACTAAAATTATTACATTTTAAATAAGTAAGAAACTTGGTAAAAGCAAATGACATAGCATTAATGTACAACTCTTTTAAGAATAAGATTAAAATTAACAAAAAAAAAAATCGTGTGCAAAAAATATGTATACGAGCCGAGTTCTCGCGGACTACATACTAATAAATTTTTACCTTTGCTTAAGAAAATGCAATGCCGTAAACATGATATAACTCTTGAAATATTTGTAACAATAGTTTTCTATATGTAAATGTAAATTTTTCAGTTTGCTAAAAAAAATGACATATATACTCAAATGTTAGATCACATTCGCGGCAGCAATAACTAATCATGCAACAGCCGAGTGCTTAAACGCATAACAAACGAAAATAAACAATTCAAACATCACTAACGGAACACAAGGGAAAACGGAGAAAACAAAATATAATAATAAAAGAGACATAACATGAATAGGAAAAGAAAATTGTAATCTGTCGTTAGTTAGTGAATGTTTGAACCTCGGCGTTATTTCCTATAACTGAGTGTGTGTTGAGGAGACTCAGTGTCGGGGTCGGGGTCTGGGGCGGGGCTACCTGTGGGGGCGCGGGCGGCAGGCTGGCCGCGCCGCTTACCTGCCGCAGCGGGATGCCGGCGCCTTCGAACGCCTTCTTCTTCAAGGTGGTGCGGATCTGTGACCTGGTTCACCGTCAAAATAACACTTTTTATTTCATCATAGTTTTTTTCCGAACAAAATATCTTGTTTTTATAATTTTATTGATTTTTTAAGCATTTAAAGCCCGTCACAGACGTAGCTATAATATATATTGATATATCGAAATATATATTATATTATAGCTAACTACCACAGACGGGAGCTATACTATAATATATATTTTGCCCTCACTCGGTCTGCGGTCGTTTTTGCAAGCGCACGGTTTTAAAGCTTATTTTCTAGCACAGGGTGTTTTAATTTTGAAATAACGTTATAATCGATCTTACCGAAATGAATTCGACAAGAGCACTACTTTTAGATTTAATTGAAAGTTCTTCAGAGGATGATTCCGATGCTGAATTTGTTGCCTTGTCAGGAACGAAAAATAGAACTTGAACATTCCGTATTATAATAATATGCCAAAATATATCGCGTCACAGACGTAGCTATATATATTTATATATCGAGATATTATATTATACAAACTACCACAGACGGGAGCTGTACTATCTATACTTCTATACTAATATTAAAAAGCTGCAGAGTTTGTTTGTTTGTTTGAACGCGCTAATCTGTGGAACTACTGGTCCGATTTGAATGATTTTTTCAGTGTTGGGTATTCCATTTATCGAGGAAGGCTATAGGCTATATTTTTTTCTTTCAAAATTAGGGATCCGTAATAAAATAGCTATTTTGTAACACAAGGTGTAAAATCGAAAACCTATTTTTGCGTGCGCTGCAAAAACTATTGACAATAGAACAAAATAATGTACTACGGGTTTGTAGATCCCATTAAGACCTACAAAAAAGTCTGCGAAAACATATATCTAGCTATCATGGTTTAATCACAATAACCGATTTTGTGTTCAAAATAATTATTACATCGTCTGAAGAAAAAAAACTACGTTAAATATGTATCGTAATATTAATATTTATCGAAATTAAGCATTATGTCATCAAGAGTATTTATGTAGAAGTAAAATACTTTTTGTTTCATTTCAATCGGATATTTCGTTTAAAAGTTATCACGTGTGTAAGATGTTAAGAGTTGGTACCTATGAATGAGTTATGGGCCATAGAGTTTTTTATTAACATAAAATCCTGTAATAATCTTTTTCAAAATATATTTGTTGATGATTGTAAGTATAAGATCTTTGAAGAGTATAATAAATACATTTCTAAAATAACTCTGCTAAGGAAATCCACGCGCGCTTGCTTGCATAATTTATCTCAGTATTTCCACGGAAACGAGAAAAACGCGGGTGAAACCGCGGGGCACGGCTATAATATATATTTTGGCAGGCGTTCGGTGAATAATGAAACATACCGTATCATAAAAATATATCAAAATATATATTAATATATCAAAATATATATTAATATATCAAAATATATATTAATATACCATAATATACACTAATATGCCAAAATATATCTGTCGACATATTTTGGTGACGTCATAGAAATATATATTATAGCTGCGTGTGCGGTCACTCGAAAATTTATATTGAAAATATGTTGTAATATGTCTTGCTATGATTCATATTAATATATATTATAGCTACGTCTGTGACGGGCTTAACTGCTAGATGTTTAAATCTAAAGATAAGTTTAAAACTTCCGGTTAAAGTGACATTACAGTGTAACGTTTGACACACACTAGTAAGACGCCATATTGTCCAGAGAAACGTTTTCGCGGCAACTTGAAAATGGAGTTTTTGATTTGATTATTTTTAAATCTAAAGAAAAGTTTACTAGAAAAAAATTCACGCAGACCAGGCAGCGGACGGGACTCGAACCCGCATCCTTCGCTATCCGGGCGAATGCACTAACCATTATGCTACCACGGCCCTATTAGCCGCGTCGAAATTTTCCTAGCTTAAGCTGCAAGGCAGCGCGTTCTCTTCGCATTGTAGGTAAATATGTATTATTTCAAGTTCAATTTAATACTTACACAGTCCGATTTTTTATGTGCTGACTGAGTTTATTGAGATCTACAGCAAAACGATGAACACAGGCTCGTAGCATCTCTATTTCTTCTTCTGTCCATTTTCCACTGTAATAAGTTTGAAATTAAGCCTATGCCTTTGGAAATGTCAAATTCAATACTTTAAAAAAGATTTCAACTATGCTTTCAATATAAAATCTAACAAACCAATATTATTATAGCAAATACTTTTTTTTCTTATATTTTATCTATGACTAGCTTGTAAGTTAAAAAATGTTACTTATCACTTAATAAGAATAATGATAGTTTCACTTTAATAGCAATAGTAAAAAGAATGTATCATTTTCTTTAGCACTATGACCGTGTAGTGAAACAGAAAGTGAATGAGTCGGGTTGCTGAGGGCCACCTGCTCAACATGATCATGATGTCCTGTTGACACTAGTAAGTTTGTTTATATGTGAATACATGAAGTGGTCAAAGTTAAACTTAATATATTAGTTAATGTATCTAAGCTCTGTAGCCATATTTCTAGTAATCCCATGAAAGCACATACAACTTAGGGCCAATCGCCTAACGGAAATGCTTTGGAAAACGCTAATGCTTACGATTTTATTTTGTTATTTCTAGCCGCCTGAGGTACTCAAATGCCTCGCGCTCTTTCTTTTTCTTTTGTATTGGTAATAACAATATTAAAAAAAATGAGCGTGAGGTATTCGAAAACCTCAGGCGGCTAGAAATAACAATATAAAATCGTAAGCGTTAGCGTTTCCCAAAGCATTTCCGTTAGGCGGTTGGCCCCCTGGTGCTCTGTGATAAAAACTCGGTTTATTCAAACACCATGATCCCTCTCCTAACCTCAAGCACACAATTTGGTTTTTAACAATATCTACTCTGTGTCTTCTAACCTAAATTTAATGTCTGTTTTAATTCTAGTATTAAGTTTATATAGGTAAATATATATTAATCGTACACATTTTAAAGTCTCTGATTTTAAGGTACCTTTGTGTTGTTGATGCCTTATCTCTCAAGTCTTAAGAAGTTACTGTAGTAGTTTGTTTTTTTAGTTATTGTTGTGCTCTGAATTTTGTGAGATAAATCAAAACACATTCAAGTATTATCACAAAAAAAAATTGCAGACATAATAGAAACAATAACTATAGTGTAGGAGTCTCTGGTAGCTCCTATTCAAAATGATGACGATTGCGATGTAAGAAAAAGTAATGGACGTTCATTTGAATTTCTATTTAAGGGCTAAGGTTTGGGGGAGTACTTCACAAGGTGCAAGATTGCCTCTCTTTTCTAAATCAGGCAGATTCATTCTCAAGTAAATCTCAATTTTTTTGCTTAGGCTCCTCTACTACTATAAGGTCATCTTTTATATAATTTAAAGAGCCATCACCGAAGAAATCTAATATGTATTGATGAAGAGTCTATAGTAATACAGTAGAACGCCGATTATCCGAACGCCGATTAACCGAATCGCCAATTATCCGAATCGGTCCTAAGCGTAATATAAAAAATTAAAACCAAGTCATTTTTGTTTTGTTCTAATAAGTTGGAACTCGCTAAAGTCCAGCGAGTATGTTATATACCTATATATATTTATATCAACTGTTAATGGTTGAAAGCTAGAGGCAAGACACTACATGTTTTACTGTTCTTAATTTTGTTTTGCTACTATGTACCTCTATTATTGTATCTAGTATTGTAGAACTGTGTTTGTTAAACGTAATAAAGTTTATTCTATGTGTGGCAGTTCCTTTTTCTTTATTACTTGTCTATGTCCGATTATCCGTATTTTCGATTATCCGAATCGACCCCGGTCCCAATTAATTCGGATAATCGGCGTCCTGCTGTACCTCAATAATGTTAGGTTTGCAAACCAAGTGTTAGTGAGGGATTCAGATCTGTACCCCTAGCACGAACCAATATCGAATTCATATCATTTGCGAGTCCGAAATGTCATTGTCAATTGTGTACTGATTTTTAGTTCTCGTTACGTACTTTGGGCTGCTGCTGATCAAGTTTTCAAACAAAATTTGACATTGACATTTTGGTTTGCAAACTATTCGAATTCGATAATGGTTCATGCTAGGGGTACTGTGGCATCATGAGTGGTAGTTATCAGGGTCATATTAATTCTAGGTAGGTATATATTATAAACATATTTTTATGTAAAAATGAGAATGCCAGACTATCCATGGCTTTAGTGTTTGTAAATAGACCATCATAGCCTGAACCAAGCACCAGAAAATTACTCACAAAAGATAATGAGACAGCAATTATAAAGGAGGTGAGATGATTTTGTTAAACATATTGTCTCACTCATTTCGAAATATCATTGGATGGGAAGGAGAGTTCAGAATACCATTAAGAGCGCACTCACCCTGGCTGTGAGTCCCCCATCGGATGCAGAAGCATGGTCATCTCTGACAGTTTGTTGAATGCTGTTCCCGCCTCGCGGAATATTTCGCCAACCTGAACTTACAAAAAAAACATGAGTTTCCTCGAAAATTAAATCGTCATTGAATGGTAAGAAGGTACCCACTTTTGCGGCGGAATTATTCATTATACTGCACTCTTCCACCCTCTTAGTGAGAATACTATTTAACTTGTTTATAACCACTGGTAATTTATAGCTAAAATTCGAAATCTAAAAACAATATTTTAGTTAATCAACAAATGGACATTGATTTATTTGATCATTGGTTGATGGACACCCCTCACCCTTAGCTCAATCAAGCATCATGTTGTATCAGTGTCAATGTCAACTAAAAAAAAACAATATCCTCTTTTCTGGATTGTCTATATGTTGCCGTAGAATAATCAAATCTATGATAGACATAATGTCTATGCAATGCATAGTCTTTTCATAGACAAAGACAACGAGTCTATTTCATTGTCTATGATCTATACCAAGAAACGGTTTTTTTTTTGACGTGACAACGTCTTAAATTAGGTTGCGGCTGGGAGTCACTTATGAAAAAGTGTAACGCTCGGTAACGTTACGATGAGTCTCTCGTGTTAAGTTTAAGTTTACATGTACAATGTTTTAGTAAACAAAATATATTTCTATAGTTAAAATTTGTGCAATTCTTATTTTCATTCAATTCCTTGTTCCTATTGTGCAATTTAATTATATTCATATCAATAAATATTCTACCGAGAAAAAGACGTTGTCACGTAAAATCTTCGCCCGTAAAACCGACTTTACAGGCAACCATTTTTTTTAATTTTAAAATAGCGAGATTAAATGTTTCATAACCCACTAGCTTCCGCTCACAATTTTGTCCACGTTATGATTACTTTCTTACAATCATTCATTTGAAAACTAGTTGTTGCGATGTTTAATTTAGGTTTAGTGATTTTAGTTTTGTATTTGAAGTAGTATTTAGACCTAAAGATTTTTAAAACCTTTGCACTTGGCCACTGGAACTAGAACTGTGGGTCAATTATGCTTCAGTAATAAAATTCTAATGTGATGTCAATATGATGTTGATGCCAAGTTGACATTGTTTTTATATGGTATTATGAAACATTCCTATGTCACATCAAGATCATATCAATATCATATCCTGTATCACATTTTTGACGTTTATGCGATACTATTTTAAGTCAAAAAGTTGAACGTAATACACATTTAAGTTGATATCATTTTAAAGAGTTGATCATCATCATAGCATAAGTTGATGTCATTTTGATATCGCATTTTTCGGAGAGCATAATACGTAATGTGAAATAGACATCAAAACAATATCACAATTAGCGAGCATAATTGGCCTGCTGTATATCTGCATTCTGCATCATTAACTCGCAAAATAAAATAAATAGACAATAATGTCGATTCTGGCATGCAAGCAAGCTAAACTTAAATTTGACACCAGTGTATCTTTGTCATTTTTTATACAGAATGAAAGGGGACAGACTGATGTTAAATTAAGTTTAGAGAATTCTGCCAGAATCGATACCATTAAATAAATAGTTTCAGCGATCTTATTCCAAAGATGTAAAAAGAAGGCCTTTGTTCTCTATCTCTCATTCGTCCTGTTGAGTCAAGAGCTCAATAGTATGTAAGTTCCTTTATTATTCTTTTTATGGTATCATCCATACTCTGTGGTGAGTGGTGAACGAGCTGTGAGTGAACATCATTCAATTTCATGATCTAAGAAGAATGAATGATTGAACATAAATTACATTGAGTGTATGAGCTGCAAATGTGTTTTCAAAATTTTCATAATTCTTGTTAATTAATTTATTGAAACTAATAATTTAAGTGTTTTTATGATACCGAGTGATAGCAGAGAGTCAGCAAGGACAAAATCCAATAATAATTTTTAACTTTAGTTGTGCAAGTCGTGTTATTATGCCTATAAACGCCACGCCTCCGTGTTGACTACCACTTCGATATGTCTTCTTCAATACCTAATCCTAATTCTGAATTACAATGTAGCAGTATTTTCACAATATAATTTACATATTCCATTATGTGCTAAAAAGGCACTATTTATAGATTTTGTTCCTGCTTTTATTCCTTGTTCTAAAATGGAACTATTTCTAATTTTATCCTTCGTTTCCTTTGGACTTGCATATGATAAAGGTAAGTGGACGATTCCAAGATGCTGTAATGTTATTTATTCTCTTATGTTTGTTATTTTACGTTTACCGCTTCACATTAACTTTGTTTCTATTTGCAGCATCTTTCTATGGGGCCAGTTATATATCATATCCACTACAAGAAGCTAAAGGAGCCACAGACATTAGTTTTCGTTTCCGAACCCACCTCTCTGATGCTTTGTTACTGCTAGCTGCTGGGAAAACTGACTATTGTATGGTAAGTACCATTTTTATATTTTCACTGTTTCTTGTGATACATATCTTCACCTAGTGCATCAGCTGTCTAAATTTAATACATACAGAAATTGTTTTGTTATCTTATAATGTAATGCCAAATATCACCCAGAACTTTGATAACTAAAATTATTTTGTTTAAATAGGAATAAATTCATGAACTCGTTTGTTTAATATATGCGTACTAATTACACCAACAAAGTGAGAAATTAGTGTGATGTATTCCATACAGTCTAGCTTGCCATAAGACAGAAATAAAATGTTATACCTTAAAAGTGTATTTTCTTAGTTGTGAGTGAAATTTATTGTAACTTATGTATATAAATACCAAATTGAAGAAGTTAAAAGTAAATAAAAATGTTTTTTGAATAAATGTAAATAAGTATAATTATTTACATTTATTAATTTGAATTTTATCATTTTTTAATCAATTTGATTGTTGGTTCACAAAATTTCTTTGGTAATATTTACCTTTATATCATTAGATTGTCAATGGCTTCATTGTTTCATTCCATTGAGAAGGTTCCAGGTATAGTGGCCCTGACGTTGGCATGAATCTCTAAACCTAAAATTAAATTTCACAAGAGTGCATCCTTGTCATGCTATATACAGAATGAAATGGAGAGACTGTTGTCACTGTCGTTTAGAGAATCATGGCGGAGTAAGACCCAGTGCATTGCTTGCTGTCTTATAAACTGTGTTCAATCACCATAAACTGATACACCATAAAATAACCCACCAAATAAGAGTATTTTTCTAACCTTTGTAATAATGAAAAGAAAACTTATAATAAAAAAAATGAATGCATGTAACTTATGTACGCGCGTGAGAAGTTATACTTCTTTAGCATCATTAAAAATATTTTTTAATTGCATGCAAATAATTAATAATTACAATAAAATAATAAAAGGACTGGAAAAGGATAGTTAACACAGTCAATTAAGTTCAGTTTTAATTTGAAAAATTAAATAAATATTCAAAATATTCAATTAAAATCACTACTGAATTTAAGTTATTAGTCCATATGTAATTAGCACTTGTAAGTAACTAAAACACGTTGTGTCTATATAGAAACTAGAAACATGTGGATAAATATTATAAATATGAAAACAGTGATCAGAGGCAACGAGCGTGCCAACATTGTTTTTGACAACGCGATCATCTAATGGAGCTCCATGGATCGTTCAAAGTACCTTTCGAACAGATGTCTAATAATGATGGATTATTAACCACTAAGTGGTTAATAATCCACCATTATTAGACACTAACATTCATAACGCGCCCGCGGCCAACTTCATGGTGTTACTATTGTGTTACAGTGATGCACGCGCATTTCGAAATTTCACTCTCATCATTTTTTCATAACGCAGCTAAAGAAGTATAACTTCAATAAATACTTTGTACTAATAACTCAATGATTTTGCTATTTTGAACATTGGTCGGTCAATATTATTAAGATTGTTTCATGTATCATCTCTTACAGATACGTTTGGAAAGTGGCAGAGTGAAACTTCACATAAACTTGGGGGCTGGAGAAAGTGAACTCTCATCAGTGAAAGGGATGTTCCTCAATGACTCTCAATGGCACCATGTCAGCATTGTTCGTAGAGAAGCCAACTTGACCATGAAGGTAATCATATACTAGTTATGTTATTTAAATCTAAAGAAAAGTTTACTAGACAAAAAACACGCGGGCCAGGCAGCGGACGGGACTCGAACCCGCACCTTTCGCAATCCGGGCGAATGCACTGACCATTGTGCTACCACGGCCCTATTAGCCGCGTCGAAATTTTCCTAGCGTTAAGCTGCAAGGCAGCGCCATCTCTTCGCATTGTAGGTAACCCACAATGTCAAATGAATACTTTTTCAAGTATTAAACATTTGAAAGAAGAAATAGCAATTATAGTTATGATTTTATTTATTTTTAAGCATTTAACTGCTACATGTTTTAATCTAAAGAAAAGTTTACTAGAAAAAAATCCACGCGGACCAGGCAGCGGACGGGACTCGAACCCGATTTTTTTCTAGTAAACTTTTCTTTAGATTTAAACATCTAGCAGTTAAATGCTTAAAAATAAATGAAATCATATTTATGTTATGTTAAAATATAGCAGTTTATTGTATTCATCTTTTAGTGTTACATGAAGAAAGATTGACTATCCCAGCAAGTCAAACTGGACATAGATTAGAATACAGATTAACCTTGTGGTGATAGTGCAATTTTATCTAAAAAAAATTATTGATATCGATTTCTTGATTTAGCATGCGGAAACTTAAAAAGGAATTATTTTTGTCTACAGGTGGATGATAGTGCTGTAAAGAAGAAGTTACCAGGAAGATTTTTTGAACTTAACATACACTTCGGAATATTTCTAGGCGGTCAAGGAGATTTCTCTGAACTCTTTCTGGGTCACATGGAGAATTTTCGTGGCTGCATGGAAGATGTAAGAATATTTTTGAAGTTATACTTCTTTAGGCGCGTTATGAAAAAATAATGAGAGTGAAATTTTAAGATGCGCGCGCATCACTGTAACACAAAATATTAAAATATTAACGGTCGCTTTAGCGACCAACTTCATGCTGTTACTTTTGTGTTTACCGCACATTAAGAAAATCTACCAACAAAATAGAAAAAGAATCTCTATTTAGTGGGTGCTAACGACTGCATTGTGAAGGCCTATCAAAAGTATTTATTAATCTGGAACAACGGAACCAAAGCGCGATTCAGGAGACTACAGCGCCATCTCTTGACCATTGGTGTAGTAGAACCAAAAACCACATCTTTATTTGAAGTTTTATGAGTTATAGCTTGCTTCTAAAAGGTTTTGGACTCTATGAAATACATATGATGTTTTCATTAACCTCATCTTGAATTAACATAAACATGATTGACTATAAAGTAATTTTCAAGTTTGATATAGGTAGTAAACTTTAATATTTGAAATCACCCAAAAACATTACAAGGCTTCCAAGGTATAGTGACGACCGCCGTAGCCGAGTTGTTTTGTACGCCAGGTTTCATGGTGTCGCCTACTCGAGAGGTCCCGGGTTCAAATCCCGGTGGACAGATGTTTGTATGATGAATACGAGCAGTTGTACTCCAGTCATGGATGTTAAATATGTATTTCTATAAAAATATACTTATGTATGTATAGTATATGTATTCTATCCGTTACCCTAGTATCCCATAACACAAGCCTTATAGTGCTTACTTTGGGGCTGGACTAATTGGTGTGAGTGTTGGAGGAATTTTTTTTTTTTTTACAACACTCACACCAATTAGCCTAGCCCCAAAGTAAGCACTGTAATGCTTGTGTTATGGGATACTAGGGTAACGGATAGAATACATATACTGTACATATATAAGTATATTTTATATAGAAATATATATTTAACATCCATGACTGGAGTACAAATGTTCGTATTCATCACACAAACATCTGCCCCCACCGGGATTCGAACCAGGGACCTCTCGAGTCGGCGACACCATGAAACCCGGCGTTCAAACCACTCGGCCACGGAGGTCGTCGGAGATTTATATTTATAGTTTGAAGTGTATTTATAATTTATTGTGATGGAAGTTGACCTCAACACATGTTTGCAAGCCTGATGTCAACTTTCAATTGGAGGACACTGTATGAAATAAAACAGGGAGAAAAAAGCAGCCCTTGCTGAGTTTCATGCCGGTTCTTCTCAGTACAAGGTGCTCGTAACAGCCTAGACTGAATAAACGATATTGAATTTTGATTTTTTTGAAGATAGAATAACATTTTAAGATCTAAGTATTTACATACAAGATATCTTTTAGGTGTTTTACAATGGCGTGAAGATCATAGACAAGGCGCGCAGTCGCAGCGGCTCGGTACACGTGGAGGGCGTCACTTGGAACTGCGCTCCCGAGTTCGACGCCGATATCGATGCTGACATCAGCTTCGTAGACGAAGGGGCCTATATGGTGTTGCCCAAAATCAATTCCAGGGCTGGAGGACGGTGAGCTTCATACCATTCATTCATTCATTTATTTATGGACCATCAACACAGCTATATTAATACAAACAAACTTACACATATGCTTACGTATTAGGATATAATATAACTGTACTTAAAGATGGCCTCATCATGCGCTAAACAGTAAACAGTTTTTCTTTTTACATATTCTACATACGGAATTTACTACACAACACAAATATTTGCCCAATCACAGAACAATCACGACAGTCTATCATGCTCTATAATTATTTAAAAGGAGAGAACACTGCCTAATATGGTCGTAAGTTCAGAGAACCCCTTACGTATCAGACCCATTATTGGCAAACTAATTTTATTAACAATAATATTAAACAGTTAAGTATCTACTTTCCCAGTATTTCATTATTACCATTCATCATCATTCAATTCAATTCAATTTATTGCACTCATGTGGTTACATCGATGGTTACAAAATGCTTATAGTACCTAACATGAACCCTGTCAGGGTATCGCAATATACAGTACAGTTAAAGATAAAAATTACAAAAGAATTTAATTAATAAACGGTTACGTATAACCTAATTTGTATTAAACCACTTAAATCTCAAGTTATGCATAAATGTCATCTGATTCCATTTGTTTAACAATATAACTTACTCAATTGATCTTATTAACAATAGAAATATAATAGAAATGGAAAATCATTTATAAAATTAAATTAAATTTGTCAGTAATTAAAATTAATAAATATGTCAATTAACATGATTATTACATACTAGGTTTGTATTTAAAAAAAAAATCGCCTCATTAGTATTATTTTGTTGTAAAGTGTTCATTATATATATTAAAAAGTATATTTAAAAGCATTATATATATAATCATTATCAGCCTATTATGAAGCTAACACAAGAATTGTATTTTTGACGTGACAACGTCTTAAATTAGGTTGCGGCTGGGAGTCACTTATGAAAAAGTGTAACGCTCGGTAACGTTACGATGAGTTTAAGTTTACATGTACAATGTTTTAGTAAACAAAATATATTTCTATAGTTAAAATTTGTGCAATTCTTATTTTCATTCAATTCCTTGTTCATATTGTGCAATTTAATTATATTCATATCAATAAATATTCTACCGAGAAAAAGACGTTGTCACGTAAAATCTTCGCCCGTAAAACCGACTTTACAGGCAACCATTTTTTTTCCTTACATAAAGGTTGTATAACTGGTCCTTAGGGATGAGCGCTGTGTCTGTGATACAGGTATTTTTATAACCTAGTACAGGCACAGAGGATACTATAAATGTTTATAAATGGTTATTCTAAGCTATAGTGTATATTGTGATGTACGATTCTTGTAAAACTGGCTTGTGAAATAAATATAATTTTTATTAATGTCCCCACTGCTGGGGCACAGGCCTTTCCTATGGATGGAATAGGGAGATTTAGGCCATGACCCACCACGCGGACCCAGTGCGGATTGGTGGGTGCTAACGACTGCAGATGCAGCCGGGACCAACGGCTTAACGTGCCTTCCGAAGCACGGAGGAGCTCGAGATAGTGATTTTTGGTCACCCATCCAATAAAAATAAATAAAATAAAAATAAAATAAAATTCATTTATTTCGAGCAACATAACTCATAATCATAATAATAATGCATAATCAATTATTGTAGAAATAGGCACATGTCACTTAAAATACACCTAATCATTTATTTAATTTAATAAATTACATAATTTAAATTTAATAATTTCCATCAAATAAAATAATTAAAAATCAAAGGTCAAGTTAATATTATTATAATGTCATACACAAAATGAATATTAAAATGTCATAGGAACACAAAATTTCTTATTTATATCAAACCGAATTTTTTTTTAATATAAAATATTTTTACAATTGTATTTAATAACATTACACACCTCTATTAGATAATATATGCTGTGCACAACAATGCCGCATGTAAGGACAGTCAAACCTCTCCGCTATCATAGCCAGGACTTTATTTGGGCTTGCCCTCACTCTACTTACAAGGGATGCACACCTTTTGCGCATGGTGGTGAAAAAGCAGTTTGTATGTGCTATTGCGAACATTCCCGAGGCGCTCCAGTAACGGGGTAGCCCCAGGAGCGCCCTAAAAGCATTGTTAAATTGCACGCGAAGCGCATTATACACTCTCCGAGAATAGCGGGCCCACAAAGCACATGTGTACAAAGTAGTGCAGTAAGCACGAAAGAGTGTAATTTTCACCTCTACTGAACTTCGTGAAAACTTGCGCGCCAACATATTTGCCCTTCTTGACAATGCTCTCCGTTCCCGCTCAATGTCAGCACTGTCGTCGAGGTCAGCAGTAACTACACACATCAAAAGTGTCTAGGGATCAACATATATTTTTGCAATAACTTTTCTCCTGATTGATATTAATTAAAATTTTCTTTAAGGATTCATCAAATAAAGTGTTTTCGTTTGTCACAGTAACGATAAACCAAGTCACCTTTGCATTAATAAAGAAATTTGCCATTTTCCTAATAAAGGGATTTTTGACATTTGAACCACTAACACAAAAGTTCGAAAAAAAGACTGAAATAACAGTTTTCTCTAAAATTTTATTGGGTAACTTAAACAATTAATAATCCGTATTTCTACCGCGAACACTAACAACACAAGAACATCGGTTTGGCATACTCAAAATGAGTTCATCCAAATCACGCTGTGGAATGGCCGCCCATGTTCGTTGCAACAACAAAAAAAGGTCTTCTTGCGACTGGATACCCTCCATATTCGGCAGAGCTCTTCTCTGTAGCATATCCCATGCATGCTCAATCGGGTTCAAGTCTGGCGACTGAGCAGGCCAGGGCAGGACATTGATGTTAGCTGCGGCGAGAGTCTGTCTTACAACTCTTGCGGTGTGCGGTCGTGCATTATCATGCATTAACTGAAATAAGGGACCGATTTGCACTTGTAGAGGAACGATGACGTCTGATACAATCGTCTCAGCATAAATTTGAGCGTTGAGGTTGCCTCTGATCCAAATCAACTCAGTTCTTCCGCCGATCCAAATACCCGCCCATACCATGATGGTTCCACCACTATAAGGATGGACTTCCTGGCAGGATTTTAATCGCTGTTGGCGTCCAGGGGTTCTCCAGTGTCGTATACGTCTTGTATCCGGTCTCATACCAAAACGAGACTCATCAGAAAAGCACACGAAACGCCATTGTTCTTCTGCCCAATTTCTGTGTTCAAGAGCCCATTGATATCGAATCCTACGATTGTGCATTGCTATAGGTGGTACCCGTAGCGGTCTTCGGGAATGAAGGTTCACTTCATGCAAGCGGTTTCTGACTGTTTGGTCGCTAATTAAGTTCCCTGAAGAGTGATGAAGCCTCACGGCTAACATCATGGCGGTTATTGTTGGAGCTCTTCGAGTTAAGATTTGAATGTATCGGTCTTGTCTCCGTGTGGTGCAGCGATACCGTCCTCCATGGCGCTCAGCCACGGTACCAGTTCTTCGGTATCGTGTCCAAAGTCGACTGATAACACTCTGACTTGTATTCAGAGCTAAAGCCACAGTACGTTGCCGGGAACCAGCTTCTATCATTCCCACGGCTCTGAGCATTTCTTCCCTGCTTAAATGACGTCGCCGCTCCATAATAACGTTGGTTTTAATCAGTAGTAGGGAAACAGTAGCACTAATAATGTCTTCAATGCGTTGTATGTTTTTATAGGGAAAATATTGACAGCTGATTTTCATTTTTTACTCGAATTTGATTCACAGTTCCTGATTCAAATTATGAAATGCACCAAAAAGGATCCATATAAATTTATAAAATCATAAATTTATTACAAAGCCACATCTCAATCTCAAGAAATCCGCATAAAAATGCTTGATCCCTAGACACTTTTGATGTGTGTATATGCCCCAGATATTTGAAATGGTACACTCTTTCGAGCGGGATGTTATTGAGATGTATTGCTGGCACATTCTCTGGGCATCTAGCACCACCAGCCTCGAAAACCATGAACTGACTTTTCGTAGGATTGTACTTTAATCCATGCTCGCAAGCGTATTTCTCACAGATGCGCAACAGGTGTCTTAAGCCACAGACCGAGGCACTCAGCAGAACCATATCGTCCGCGTAACTAAGATTATTGACACAGATTCCATCAACGTGACAGCCGACATGGCTACTGCTGAGCTCCACGATTAGCGCGTCCATATATAAATTAAAAAGAGTGGGAGAGGTCAGCCCACCCTGCCTAACACCGCACTGAAGACGATATGGCTCCGACACTGCGCCCCCCCATCTGACGTTGTTAATTTGATGTGAATACCAGTACTTAAAGATGTTAATAAGTTCTCGTGGTAGACCCATCTTGTCCAACTTGCTCCATAAAACCTCGTACGCCACCAGGTCAAAAGCCCGGGATAAATCCAGGAAACACGCATATACTGGAGTCTTACGATTCGTATAATACCTGACGCTGTGCTTTAGACTCAGTATTGCACTCTCAGTGGACAATTTGGATCTAAATCCAAACTGATTGTCGTGCAAGTGAATGTGTTCATTTAACTTTTCATTGAGCACAGCGTCAAATATTTTTGCTATGATCGTAGCTAAGGAAATTGGCCTATAGTTACTTTTATCAGCAATGTCACCGGTTTTATTTTTCACTATAGGTACTACCACTGTCTTCATTACGTCTGACGGTAAATAAGAGTGACTCACACACAGCGAATAAAACATTGCGAGTACCCTATAAGCGTGAGGCCCGGCATGCCGTACGTGCTCGACGCTGAGACCATCATGACCAGGAGACTTTCCCCTGGTCATGGTTTTTACAATAGTAGCTAATTCTTTCGCTGAGACTTGTATATTCACAGCCCCATTCCCATTTAGTAATTCAGCATCGAAAACCCGACCCACCAGCCCTAAGGGAGACTGTATAGTAAAATGAGACCTAAAGGCATCAGCGATCTCCTTATGATCACACTTACCGTCGATGACCATAGGACAGCTCGGTTTTAAGTTGTCCCTTTTTATAAATCTCCAGAAACTCTGAAAATCTCCGCTCGAATGTTTTTCAGCAAGGGCGTCCATTCGTAATTGGTCCTGGTGATTTTGGCACCATTTCAAGCGTGACTTAAAGATCCTCCTGCTTTCAGACATATCATTGAAAATGATACCCGAACGCGGCTTACCGCACCTTAACCATTCAAAATATTTTAAACGTGCCGTCCTATGAGCCTCGGCGACGCACTTGTTCCACCCTGCCACACCTGAGCCACTCCAACCACCACCAGCGTCCTCTCGACCAGCACAAGACGCATCAGAAAGGGCAGACACAATGTCAGAGTAAAGTCTGTCAAGTACATATTTATGACTTTCATTATTACAATAGGAGTTGGCACAGTCAATAAATTAATTTGGAAAGTCTATTGTTTTAAGTCTTTTATGACACTCTTCAGTATACCTGGCCACTTGTTCCTTGTTTCTCATACCCCACAAGACATGATTTTTGGTACAAGTAATATTATCCCCAGCTACGATGGGAGTTAATAAATATAGATCACATTTTATTATCAAAGGAAAGTGGTCGGACCAAAAAGTGTCATAACTGACAAAAACGTCAGTTACACATTGTTTTGCGGCTTCAGTCACTACACAGTGATCCAGCCAGCTGCAAGAACCGTGCACTTCACTAATAAACGTGTAAGTGCCCGAATCTGCACCTAGAAAATCAACATCGCAGCAAGACCATCGTTGTTCATTACAATATTTGTTTAATTCGTTATAAAATAATTCGTCAATGTCAGCATTATAGTCACCTAATATAAAAACAGATTCAATACTATATTCATCAATAATTGCGCTCACCGTACTTAAACAGTCCGTAAATTCTGGAAGATTTTCCACGGAGTTCGTCGGCATGTAAACACTCATCACTATCACTGGACGATCATTAGTTACTATTTTAATAGCACAGACACGGTCACTATCACACCGTAACACCGATACGTGTTGGAAAACGCTGCTCCTCCACAGCAGTGCGACACCACCATACGGCCTCCCACGAAGAACGCCTGTAGAAGTGTCAACAGCAGACGTCCCCGCAAATCCAAAATTATGACCGACCACTGCGAAAGTTGCTTAAGTTCAACGATCGCAGCCGAAAGCGCTAACCATTTGCGCCATCGAGCTCCTCAATTCATACCATTAAGGATAATTTTATGTCTATGCTCAGCAGGGGAGTTGTACGGCTGAGGAAGTGAAGGATAATTTTATTAGCACAACGGGCTTCGGTGTGGATAATGGTTGTCTAAAAAAGTTGTTTTATAGTAATTTTCATTTAAATACTACTGCTTTTTCAAACCAACTTCAGAAAAGAGGAGGTTTTTGAATTAGACTGTGTTTTTGTAAGTCTGTTAAATGATGACATGTTATGAAGTCTAAAAGATATTCTGAGATATTCGTTAAATCTATATATATAAAACTCAAAGGTGACTGACTGACAGTGATCTATCAACGCACAGCCCAAACCACTGGACGGATCGGGCTGAAATTTGGCATGCAGGTAGATGTTATGATGTAGGCATCCGCTAAGAAAGGATTTTGATCAATTCTACCCCCAAGGGGATAAAATACGGAATGAAAGTGTGTATGAAACTTTGTCAATTTTAAACTGATCGTGTTGAGACTTTGCATGCAGGTATAAGAAGAATCATAGATGAATGTCATTGTGTAATACAAGCCTGAGAACAAAAACTGTAGTCTACACTTCAGCTCTACACCGAAGCGAAGCGAATGCGGGCCGCTAGTCATTCATAAAAGTATTACTTTTTTAATGCATTCAATTCAAAACCATTCATTTAGTTTGAACTTTTACATAGTCATTTTTTCATGTGAACTTCGAAAAACTACTCCATTTAAACTTTGACCGAACGTATAGCAACAGAAGTGCAAGTGTGTTATACCTTCCATACACACTACGATAAATCGTTACGATTAGACTGTACAGTGCGAACGGTACCGATAAATCGTAGCGTGTATGTTATAAAACTGCACAGTTTCCTATACTAAACGATATCGTATAAACTGTACCGTTCGAACTGTACAGTCTGATCGTAACGATTTCTCGTAGTGTGTATGGCGGGTATTAGATAAGCAGTTATTTTTACTATTTATATAAAGTATAAAAGTTTATTATCATTTTCTTTTGACGTGACAACGTCTTAAATTAGGTTGCGGCTGGGAGTCACTTATGAAAAAGTGTAACGCTCGGTAACGTTACGATGAGTCTCTCGTGTTAAGTTTAAGTTTACATGTACAATGTTTTAGTAAACAAAATATATTTCTATAGTTAAAATTTGTGCAATTCTTATTTTCATTCAATTCCTTGTTCCTATTGTGCAATTTAATTATATTCATATCAATAAATATTCTACCGAGAAAAAGACGTTGTCACGTAAAATCTTCGCCCGTAAAACCGACTTTACAGGCAACCATTTTTTAAAACGTTTTCATTATAGATATAGATCAAATTATTCACACGAGATTGTATTGATAACGAGTCGGCAGGCGCCGGTGTCTGCAATACAGTTTTTAAAACTAGTGCAGATATCAACGCTTCAACCTTATACCTATTGTTAATATTACAACACTACTAATGTGAAAACTAAATGTATAACAATTTAAAAGAAATAAACGTTTATTTATTATTATTATTATTTATTATTTCTAGATGGCACATCGAGTTTAAGACGATCGCTCCAAACGCCATGCTGTTGTACAACGCTGGGGGCGGACGGGGATCGGACTACTTATCGCTGGAGATACTGGATGGGGCCGTGAGGGCCAAGATGGCCCGAGGTCAGATCTTGCACCCTGGCCGCGTGGACGACGGCAACTGGCATGCGTTGCAGCTGGCCTTCAACCCTGCGCTAATGGAGGTCAGTGCCGCCTCACTGTTCATTTATTACAAGCTTTTATTTAACTTGCTATGTATGTTTGTTACGGTCAAATGTTACAGCTCAATTTTAAAGCACTTGCCCTCAACCGATTAAGCTGAAATTTGGTATGCTCGTTCAGTTCGGATGACAGTGCATGATTAACAGTGTGACGTCATTCTAAATCCAATATGGCGGCATACCCAAAATGGCGGACCAATCATTTTTAATGCATTCCTACAATACGGGTGTCAAATTAAAGGGCTTGCTGCTCCTAGTGCAGAAGCCAGTCTCTTCTTACATAGAGTTATAAGTTAGGTATCATCATCATCATCATCATCAGCCTATTAATGTCCCCACTGCTGGGGCACAGGCCTTCCCTATGGATGGAATAGGGAGATTGGGCCATGACCCACCACGCGGGCCCAGTGCGGATTGGTGGGTGCTAACGACTGCAAATGCAGCCGGGACCAACGGCTTAACGTGCCTTCCGAAGCACGGAGGAGCTCGAGATAGTCAATTTTTGGTCACCCATCCAATGACCGACCACTGCGAAAGTTGCTTAACTTCAACGATCGCAGCCGAACGCGCTAGCCACCTGCGCCATCGAGCTCCTCGAGTTCGTTTAAGTTAGGTATCTAAATTGTGAATTTGCTTATACCTTACTTTTTACCATTATGTATTTCTATGTGAGAGAACAAATAAAGTATTTTTCTATTTTCTATTTTTTTCTATTGATAGGATAGGATGAACACTGGCCAGATACAAGGGCGGATCCAGCTTTAGCGCCAGGGGGGGGTCATATAGTCGTGGTATATTAAATATTGAAAGTACTTAAATAAAATCCCCCTGGGTTTGGTCCATCTGTACCCAGCCCAGGGGGGGGGGGGGTCATGACCCCCATGACCCCCCCCCCCCTGGATCCGCCCTTGGCCAGATAAAAGTGGGCCCGACGAAGACTTTGGTTGCTTTCCAATTACAGAGCCACACAATGCACAATTATGCTGATGCTCAATTGGAACGTGAACTAGTTTTCAAATGCACCAGCAGAGTGCGCTAAGTTCAGTGTTGAAAAGAAAAAAGTCAATGTTTGTACCTTCATCCATACTTATATTTATTTTTTAACAGTTTGAATGAACTTTGATTATTTAAAGAAACTATTTAATGAAACGAAAGCTTTAATAATTTTTCAATAAAAAATAATATTACTAACGATAACATATAAATAAAACATTTCGATCAATGCCAACTTAAAGAAAAAACACTTGTTAATTTTCTATCTCTAAGTTGGTACGATTGCACGCATCACACGAAAGCATCACTTTTGAGAGTGCTCAATTGTGCGAAGCGTTGCTGTAGTTGGAACACTCAACGTTAAGCATTATGCCGCATAATGCGCTATAATGCTGTAATTGGAAAGCAACCTTTAAGTACCTATCAGTTGCATCATCGCTTTTTATGCACGCGTAAGTATTGTACAGTACCCTTACCACGCACCAATTTAAAATTCGTATACAGTAGACCCGCGGTAATCAAATTCAAATTCTTTATTGCATAGTCACATGGTTAAAAGATGACAATTTAGTAATATATTATATATATACTAGCCAACCAGTGAACCAAATGTTCACCAAAATAAAATGATTTAAAAAAAAATGTATTTAATTCATTGAGAACTTCGGAGATTTTGTGTGGTTTCGTTTGAAATTCGTGATTTCTCGAAAACCGGAAGTGCTACGTTACTCAAATCCGGTTTGTAGTCTTATCAGACTATTCTTAACTTATGACTTAAATATTCTCTTTATCTATCTCTTACGGCTTGGCCGCTGAAACAGCACCACAGACAGACGGACGGACGGACTTGTCTAATAGATAAGAGATACATGTACTATACATGTGACACCCTGCAAGGGTGTTGAACAAGAACAATTTGTTTAAATTTATTATAAGCATTTAACTGCTAGATTTATAATTGTAAAGTGATTATTATTATTACTAGAAAAAACAACAAAAATAATATGATTACATATATATGATAACATTTAGATCAGTGATTCCCAAAGTGGTCTATATCGACCCCTAGGGGTCTATGACAACCTGCAAGGGTAGACGTCAGCGAAAAAAAATCAATATCAGGTAAGTAGGGGGTCTATACAACACGGAAAAACATGGCAAGGGGTCTACGACATAAAAAAGTTTGGGGAACTCTGATTTAGATATTATTAGAGTGTACAACGTCAAACGTTATGCAGGGCTATGGCGGATTATCGAATTTGTCAGATTACAGAGTACTGCCTAATACCACCATCTATAGTCCGGAATTTTTGGAATAAGAATCTCTTATCTATTAGACAAGTCCGTCCGTCTGTCTGTCTGTGGTGCTGTTTCAGCGGCCAAACCGTAAGAGATAGATAAAGAGAATATTTAAGTTATAAGTTAAGAATAGTCTGATAAGACTACAAACCGGATTTGAGTAACGTAGCACTTCCGGTTTTCGAGAAATAGCGAATTTCAAACGAAACCACACAAAATCTCCGAAGTTCTCAATTAATTAAATACATTTTTTTTTTTAAATCAGGTTTTGGTGAACATTTGGTTCACTGGTTTGCTAGTACCTTAATTATATTATCCGTCAAATTATCAATCGAAAATTTTATTTCAATTGATTTTATGTGCCGGATAAGACGGGGTCCGGATTACCGCGGGTCTACTGTAGTTTGCGATTGCGAAATGCCATTGTCAAATTTTGAATGGAAACTTGAACAGCAGCGGCACAATGGATGCAACGAGAACTTAAAATCAGTACACATCTGACAATGACATTCTGCAATCGGAAACTATTCGAAACCGATATTGGTTCGTGCTAAGGGTACAAATAAATAAATAAATAAATATTTCCAACACTCACACCAATTAACTTAGCCCCAAGCTAAGCACTATAAGGCTTGTGTTATGGGATACTAGGGTAACGGATAGAATACATATACTGTACATATATAAGTATATTTATATAGAAATGCATATTAAACATCCATGACTGGAGTACAAATGCTCGTATTCATCACACAAACATCTGCCCCCACCGGGATTCGAACCCGGGACCTCTCGAGTCGGCGACACCATGAAACCCGGCGTACAAACCACTCGGCCAAGGAGGTCGTCAAACAGTTCATTTTCTATGTCTAATGGCGCGATAACATTCGGTCGTTAGCCCGAATACAAATGTCAATAGAATTCTTGAAAACGACTAATTGTAAATGAACGTAGTTGAGTACATACGTATTCGGAAAGTTTTCGTCACCCGTCTTCCAGCCCATATTTCAGTGACATTGTTGCTTCGGGTGCCCGAATTAGATTAATGTCTTTCGTGCACCCGTATACAGGCTTACGGGCAAGTATAATTGAGCCATAATGGCTAATATATAAATGACATGCTTCTTAGATGCCACAGAGACCTTACTGAACAAACTTGAGCGCCTGCAGAACCTCGCTACCCGCTTCATCTTTGGTCTACGCAAGTATGACCATGTTTCTAGTTTTCGTAAGGAACTCGAGTGGCTTCCCATTGGTCTGCGCAGGAATGTTAGAATCCTTTGTCTCCTTTTCAACATCCTCTATAATATCCACCTTACCTCCGTGAACGGTTTTCTTTCATGCACCCTTCAACAGATCCTTGCAGATCCCACCTCAAATCCCTTCTAAAATGTCCCACCCATAACACTAGTTTCGCATCCTATTCCTTCTCAGTACATGCCGTCCGTCTGTGGAATTCGCTGCCAGCAGAAATTAGAGACTCTAGTTCTGTCTCAGTGTTCAAAAAACATCTGAAGGAACACTACTTATCTTCGTGCCCTTAATTCTGCCCTTGATCTTCTCATTGTTTCTCTTCTCGTCGTCCATATCTTTATATATATAATTCTTCTGTGAGTGTGTATGTCACTGAACTTCTCTTAAACGACTGGACCGATTTTGATGAAATTTTTTGTGCGTGTTCAAGGGGATCTGTGAATGGTTTAGATTCACAAAGACGTGTAGACAGGACAAGGTCTGTCGGGTCCGCTAGTTATATGTATGTATGTATTTATATATCTATTGTCATCAATTTTATATTCGTATGTGTATGTATTTATTCATTATTTAAGTACTTGTATCTATAAACCTATATATATATATATGTAAACCCCATATTTATTGGTATTAACATGTATTTATATTCCGGTGTACACGCTGACTACCTTTACATATTTTCTTTCCTTCTACGGGCCGACAGTAAGAAATTTCAGATTGAAATAAGTTGTGCCCTTGTACATGTTATCTTTGATTAAGTTGCTCCTATATTATTTTTGTGTGTACAGAATATATATATAAATAAATAAATAAATGACACTTTTCTGTTTTAAGTTTGCAGTCCAATGTTACTGGTAATGCTTCTACTGAAACTCATTTTTAAAAGTGGTTGGTTTCAGCATTGGCTTTGAAACCTGGGTTCGAATCCTATGGTATTTTGCTTGCAACACAAATGGAATGATAAAAGCTGTTGTTCCCTCAACCATGTCTTTTTATGTGTTTCCTCATTTATTTTATTCGTTATAATAATAATAATAATAATCTTTGTCTCTTCTTCCACAATCTACAAATCCTATGACAACTTATTATAGTATAATTCTTATCCGTATGATGCACTGTTGTATGATAATCAAATAGTAATTGGTGTAAAATGTCCCGAATTTATCTCTAAGTCCTGAAAACTAGATGAAATTAAATACAAAACATGTCAATACCCAAAACTATGACCATTTTTAATTTATGCAAAAAGCAAAATTAAATGTATTTTTATTTGCAAATTTAACATAATGTTAATGTACTTAAGCGAATATGGCACTGCGAATTATATGAGCTAGAAATTAAAAATGCTAATACAACATCTTTTACACTTAATTTTTTATTTTTTAATCACTTAAATAGTACATATTTGTATCTTAAGTAGATTTTACTAAAAACAA